TATCTATTGTTAAGCTTGTAAACATCTATTTATTATAATAATCCTTCCTTCCATATTTCACTTGTAGCAATTCTTTATTGTTTCTTTGACATTTTATTTATTTCTCTATTTTTAAGAACTTTCCTTATTTCAAAACCAGGAAACAATTGTTATGAACTTAAACAGAGAGATAAAAGCACTTGTTAATTTAATTATTTATATTATGAATACAATTTTGTTATCTTAAAAAATAGTAATAAAATCTATATCGTAAAAAGGATAAGAGGAACAGTAATCAGTTACATGTGTCAGTAGGTAAAGTAATTAAAGACGTACAAACGAAACTTTGAATTCTTAATGAGCCTGAAACACAAGTGTAAATAAATGTGATTAAATCAAAGTTCTTTGTCAATAATAAAGGATTGATGACTTCAAACTGGAAGTTGTTTTTTACCTTATTTCTTAAATTATATATTGCAGGATCTAATATAAAAAATATATTAAATGCAAAATTCATAGTCTAAAATAAGGCTTCTTAATTAATTAAGACAGTATTTTTATCACTTCTTCATTTTAAAGAATTATCGACACTCATTTGTAATTCAATAATTGTGCTTATCAAATTTGGAAAATTATGAAATGTTTAAATTACTAATTCAACTTGAATTGATAACTTCAAGTTTCATAACTTAAATTATAAGTATAATATACACACATACCATACATTTGCTTCTTCACTTGATAGGTATGTTAAAAAAGCTCCATAAAATGAGATGCCTATCATTAATTTCTAAGAAGAAAGTTATGGTGTAACAGCAGTAATAAGTTAACAATTAACTCAGTAAATATAGTTTATCAAATACTCCATAATTTACATTTTTTTCTGCAAAATACATTTATTGTTTTTATGAAGCATGTAATTAAACAGGTAGAAAGATTGATTTAGGTCATTTGTCTACTTGTTTGTCTAGTATAATTATTACTTTTTTACCAATATATTTATCAATTTTTCAGTAAAACAAACTGTCTAATGAGATGACTTACACATATTAATATGAACAATAAGTTAATTTTCCAGTAAATGTACAATTATTCAAATTGCTAATAAATTTATCCAACATTTACATAGTGTATTATTTTAAGAACTATTAGCTAATAATAACAGCTGTCCTAAGTCAATCGGAACAATCTAGATAATGTGTAGAATTGGGAGTACATAGCAATTTATATGGGAGTACTGTACATAGCAAAAAAATTTCTGATGTGCAATATGTCGATTATTAATGCAATGGGAAAATGCAACAGTGGCAAAGTGAAAAATTTTGTTACAGGAATTGTTTAAAAGTTTTATTATGGTAAATGTTAGGTAATTGTATCTGAAGGAGTGATAGTTATAATCATAAAAGTACATATTTATTTATAAATAATTTTTATTAGAAACAGTTGTTCCTGAATTTTTAACAAAGTTGAATATGATTAATAAAAGTTTAATATTATAACAAAGACAAACATACCCAAAACCAGCAAAAATTAACTCAAAATAGTACTTTTATTAACATTTTTGTCTGTAACAGACATCTTCAGATAAAATACAAATAATGCAGAACTAAAGGAACAAATTAATTTGTTTGAGAAATCATATTCTATTTTAATTTGTTTAGTTCTACATTACATGTAGTGTATCTAAAGATGTCTGTTACAGACGAAAACATTAGTATAAGTACTCAGCTTTGTTCATCACTCACTTTAACATAAAGAATTAATCTTGATCGAATATTCGATACCAGAGGACTCATGGCATCTTTGACATGTTTTGGAGTTGACCGGCATTTTGATTTCATAATCATGAGTGCCAAAAATGTAGCTTTGCATAAATATGTGGTACAAAATTTTTACCATTGTTAAATTTCTGACAACTCCCTATGTTCAATTGCATGACCTCATTTATGGTCATGACTCAGTTTAAATATTTTAAAGCTAATAAAAACTATGCAAAAAAAATGAAAAAGTACATTTATTTACAAATGATATTCATCTGTTTGGAGCCAACCTTCTCTTGTATTTCAAGGTCATATTTATTCCTCTTACTATTTACAATGATTGTATTATTAGCCTTAGAGGAAATTAAATCTATTGTTTATTTTTAGAAAAATTTAGATTTTTGCTATTTACTTATAACATATTTTTACAACAAAATCAGCTAAAATAATAATTTTAAGCAAGGTGTTTACAAAAGATATGAAAATGCAGACAAGTGCATGTTTGCTAGAGTCATCATTTATTTTTATTGTGTAGTACGTCACGACTGTATAATTGTTAAGAATATAGTCTTAATCAATGTAGCTATATATGCAGAATTAAAAAATTGCATGTCAATAATTTTATCTCTTAGCTAAATTAGAGAATTTTTTAAGTATTTAAGTAATTGAGATTTCAAATTTAATGAAAAGTATTTAAATACCATAGGGGCTGATAATACGACATAATCAGTGCTGAACAATTTTATTAACTGTTTTTTTTTTTCCAGATAACCGATCATGTTTGATAGGGAAAGAATAAAAAGATAAATAGTTTAAAAAAATTAAAATTGAAGACTAAGTCTGTCCAAAAACGATCACTGCTAATGTGCTTTCACTGTACAGCATTTGATGACTGACCTTTCTTTGTAGGCCACTTTGATAGTTTAAATAAAGTAAAAATATTAATTTTAATTTTAGTACAATAGTAAAAAAAATTAAGACGCAGAAAATTAATACTGTAAATAGGAATGATATGAATTAACGAAAAAAATTGTGTAATTTACAGGCAATCTTTTATTGCAATCTACAACGTAGCCTACTGATGAAATTTTGAATTCAAGGTTAAAAATACATGATAGCAAAATTAATATTGAATGAAGTACAGCATTCACGTAAAATTATCTATTATAGTTTATTTTTGAAAGAGGTCACTTGTTTTGCTTTATCTTTTGTTTTTTTTTCTTCTTCTTCTTCTTATTGTTTGTTTAGTTAAGTTACGGCAACGCAACACTTCGGCGATCTGCCTAGAGGGTATGCCTTCCGGGAGGTTTTTTTAAGGGTAACTGGCCCCTATTCAGGGGTTACAGACGTAGAGAATATCCGGAAAACTCCACATGGCCAGCCCGTCCTGGCAAGGTGCGAACATGCGACCGAACTCCCAGTGTTCAGGGAATGGAACCGTTGGCCACTGGTGGGCCTTTTTTTCTTTTTAACTCTTCTAAATCCCTGGTTTGATGATTAAGCAAGATCTTATTTTTTTATTTCTTTTAAAACTCTTTCTACCTTTCAGGCACTAAGAAGGCCATTTTAGCAAGCCCACTATGGGGTCGGCCAGGACCGACCACAATGAGGCGGCCGGGTGGTGAAGAACGAGGACCAATATATTCGATGGATCACCCCACGAAAACTTTCAGTGGTTTTTCGACCCATCTGGATTCGATCATGGTTCCCCAGAACAGTAGGCTGCCACCCAGTGGTGATATTCAGCGGGTTTGCACAGGTTCGGCCGAACCCGTTGTTAACATTTTCAAAGTTTTCCGAACCCGTTGTTAAACGCACGTAACATTTCTCAGTGATTTTGTTTCTTTTAAAAAATATATTAAAATATACGTATTNTTTTATTATCAATAAAAAATAACTTTTGTGTTAATTATTACAAACAAGGCTTAATTTTGAGGACAGTGATGAATTTTTTAAAATATTCTAAATGCAAATAACCAGTAAAATTTCCATTAATTCTGACCATACCCGAGTTATGACACTTGACCCCCATCTTTCTCCCCATTCCCTGTTTTTTTCGTACGAATGATGATAAATAATAATAAAAAACTGTATAATGTATTAAAAAAAAAGTGCACAGTATTCTTTTAATTGCCATTTACAGCATATCGGTGAAACTTTGAAATCAAAATACATAACAGTAACATTAATATTAAATAGAGTACAATATGTGTAACTCTGCCGAATCCCCAACTTGCTCAATTCTTGTGAAAGCCAAATAATCTGCTTTGGGTTGCATCTATAACCTTGTTGGCTCTGTTTCTAAGCATTTGATGCATTAGAAGCCTGTGACTCATTAACATGCATTTCCATTTGTACTTAGATAATAAATAAAACCAGTTTGGGATGGCTTATTATTATTTGTAACTCAATCACTTCATTGGAAGCAATCAAAACTAGTTTTTACTATAATTTAAAATACTTCTCATTTTACTGATTTTTGGGCCATCCTATTTATAATTGTAGTAAAAAAAAAAAAATTAATTAAATCAAACTACTTAGGTGTGTGAGTCTGTTCCTTGAATGGAATGTAAGTGTAGTCACATTTTGAGAACTGAAAGTAACAGTGGCATTAAATGTTTTAATTAAGAATTAAAACAGTTTGTCTCTTACCTAATAAATATGTTATTTCTATGCATTTGTACAAATATTTTCTGTAATTTTTTAATAATTTGCTTTAGACTTTGATATAGAAAAGTGTGCTATAAAAATAAATGATGCATGCCTGATTGCATGCAACAAGGTGTGTTGAAATCATTCATTGATCGTTGTTGCGTCTATCATTTCACAGCCTTTTATTTTTTTTATGTTGTCAAATAGACTTTAGCTCTAGGTCAGTTTCACCAGACCTTCAGTTTATAGTTTAATAAGCAATTGTTATTGAACTGTACAAACTATTAATGTACTTGAATGACTGTTATTCTGAACTGTAATTATTGTAGAGAATTGTATGCACAATTTGAATTTTACTATTCATAATAGAATTAAAATTAAATGTTTAAGTTAAAAGAATTCCATATTGAATTTATTATTGTTGAGAAATAATATAATTCTTTGCATTTAGCCGATTCTATTACATTATTTTAAAATTTTCATTGTGTGTAAATAGAAATATTTTCCTTTGTAAGAAGTTTTCTTTATGACTGATTAAACAATTTGATTTGGTAAATTATATTTATTTGTGCATTTTTTATTTTGAGATTTTATTAAATGTTCTTCCAGACATTGATCAACATGGCCTATTGCTGTTTAATCCTTGTCGGAAAAGTGATCCAGACGTTGGTGTTTGGAGAACTAAGGGTGTCTGAACAACAGGTAAATTTTTGCAATTTTTCAAACTGTTACAATTACACTATAATATATTATTACTTGGATATTTTCAAACAATATCTTATCGTAAATGGCTTTGGAAATGACATTTCTAATGTAACCTTTAAAAGATGATTTTTTTTGTATGTAATTATAATAAACAATTACAATTATTGGAATTTATATATATTTATATTTTGTTAAAGATATATGACAGTACAATAACACCAAGCCAATGACTTCATATAAAAGTGATATGCGGGGATGTAGCCAGAAATTTGTGTGTGATCACGCTGTGGCCGATGCTTGCATAAACCTAACTTAATGTATGTACTGTACTTAGGTTGCTGTAAAAAAGTAATAGCCCACAATCACTTGCAACACATTATTGTGCAGAGAGTTGCCATACTGGCATGGATGTGCTTGTCATATGCAAGCCAAATGACAACCATTAGAGTTTAAAAGCAAACCATTGACATGTTTTTGCTTTTAAAATCCAATGGGGTTGTAGTGGTATGTAAGGATCAGATCATGTGGTATGCAAGAGCTTTAGTAAGGGAAATGCCACCCATGCTATCCCATGTAGCTACATCCTTGGATGTTAAAAAACTGTCATGAGTTTACTTTCATTTATACCAATGGTTTCCAAATGTTGGGATTTGTGACAAAGGTCAGAATGTTCTGTTCTAAAAATTATGTAACATTACTAAATATTTCTAAACTATATTTGAAGAAATGAGTCTAGGAACATATCAAAATTTGAAATTCATTTGCTTTTATATTAATGTAAAAATTTTTCCTAGTACAGGTCAACTATCTCATATCTGAAATTCCAAAAACCAAAGCTTTATTTATGGAATGTGAGTGTCACTAGTCTGCACAACAATAGTCATTTACAAGTCAGACATGTGTCTGCTGTTAACAAATATTTTGTTCAGTTTTAGATGATTATTCAACATACAGAAGAGCATTACTTTTCATAACAAATGAAGATCTAGAAACAAAATATATCAAAAATGATTTGAAAAGTGCTCATCCTGAGGATTTCGGATAAGATTGTTTATCTCTATTTCATTAAAGATGTATAATTATGGTAGGACTCTGCCATATGCAGATGTGAGGATGCTGACTCTTTTGGGAGTTTTAGAAACTTTAAACCATTATAAAGTTTTTATCATTATTTCCCTTCTTTCTCCAGTTTTCCCTTTCCTAGAAGTTAAGTGTAGACCTTTTGACCTATCAGTGTACTGTGTCATTTCAAAAAGGTGACCTTCTAAACTTTAAAAGTCGTTTAGGATGACAGATAAAGTTTTCCCCTCACAACAGGGGATTATTCAGTTCCACCTTCGTTACAATGTACAAATAAGTAGCCAATTAGCAAGAACCTCCACCTGTTACATGATAAAGGCTGACGAAAAGGTCAATACAGTCATCACCCAAGTGGCCCTGCAGATGTTCTGATCTTAGTCACCTGCAGCAATTAATTTAAGACATTGACAGCTGTTGTCAAATTTATGAGGGGAAAGTATCACAATAATGGGGAGAAAATGTAATAAATCAAAAGAACAAGTAAAGTAAACAACTTTTGATGCAGGTCGAACTTACAGGATTGCATCAGTTTTTCCCCTGATAATTCCCCCTCCAGGATGTGTATAAAAAGGGTTGCGCTTGCACCTCAAGGTGGACACAGCTAGGTGGACATCACCGGCAGATGTCCATAGATGAACGTATCACCAGTGGACATCAGGGAGACACCAGACCCATACCGCCATTCCATCCGTTGCAACCCCTGCCTTCCCGCCATAATCACCGTCGGAATCTCGATGAACCTGACCTGATTGAGAGACTGCCAATCTGGGTACGTTTCACCAATGTCCCATACAACAAGATTGTGGAAATGAGAAGTAATCACATAGCCAAATTTTGATACTCTGTCTTCCGTTTCTTATCACTCTCTCGATCATAGCTTGAGCTTAGACAATATTATGTTTTTAGAATTAGATCTTAGTTAGTCTTTAGAGTCTCATTAGATGAATTATTCCCTTTTTGGTAGCCTTTTTGATTTGTATTGTTTGTATAGTTTTAGACAATTAAATATGTTTATCTTATCCTTAACTGTGTGTCATTCTTGAGTACAATCGACAGCTTGTCGTGACCTTGCTATCCTTCTCACTCAATTAACTTTAGCCATCCCCTGACGAAGAAGCCGATAAGTGAAGAGACGCTCGGCGCTCTATCCTCTTGGTTCTCACACAGACTTGCCATGTGTGGTTTCAAGTTTATGCTTTTTAACAATCAAAAAAAAAGAAATACAGTAGAACCTCCATTATCCAGATTTTCGATTATCCGGATTGTTCAAAATAAACAAAAATTTTACGAATTTGCTGATTTGCACTTGGCGAATTACGACACTGTTTATGTACGTGATGGAATGCATAACTTTTTTTGTTTCAACAACGTCTCACCCAGCACAGTTGGTCGTAAACTCTTAAATATATTTTACGTCGTACATACGTATTTATAAATAATTTATATTCAAATTACATCATTTCTATGACCAAGGGCGGCGTAAGGCATGGACGACGTGGGCCACCGCCTATGCCTCGCGGTCCGAAGGGCCTCGCGCCTCGAAGGTTTATGCATTACTTAAAAGCCGTGAACGCGACGAAAAAATTTTACTCGTCATAAAACGATAAATAGTTTGTCAAATTTTTATTCATAAAAATGCAGTTTCAACTGCTTTTTATTTTATAAAATCCGTCTTCTTGCGCCACCAGAGGGCCTTTTAAACAATAGGTAGTCTGTTAGCATTGGTTAGTAGTAGTCCAAATTCAATACGAACGTTTGTTTCTTGAAAATTTGATCACGATTTAAATACAGTATTCACTTTTAATATTACCGATATGTCATCGAAAAGAAAATGTGTTGTATTATCATTAAAAGACAAATTAAAGTATTTGTTTCGATTATCCGGATTTTTCCTTATCCGGACTACCTTCATCCCCAATTAGTCCGGATAATCGAGGTTCTACTGTATAAATAAAATAAAAATTCTTTTTTGAACAAAAATATAGACCTATAAATTCCTACTGTTTTCTGCATGTCTGTCTGTCTTTTCTTAATATCAAGAATGGTGTTTGATAGATGAAGTTGAGACCAAATATGGAAAGCATAGGGTCAGGAGGCCCAATTAACTATACAGGTATACCTTGCCTTACGTCGGTAATTGGTTCCAGGAGAACGACTTAAGTCGAATTTACTTGTCTCTGAATCTACTTGCCACTAGGCTAAACCATAAATTACCAATTCCTTATTTATTAATGCATTTTTAATAATATATGGTTAATAAGGATCTATTTTAAGCTTACAAAAAAATAAATTTTAGTTTTTAATATAGTACAGAAAAAAGTAATTTAAATTTACGAATGCATGTACTGTAAATACAGTACCTACTTGTAAATGTACATATTTTAATATGATTTTATGTGCTTTAAACATTTTTCTAGTGATATTACGACTTCAATATTTGTGGCAGACAGACGTAAAGTCAAATAAAATGACTTAAACTTGATTTTTATTTTTCCATATACTTTTTTGACAAACGACGTAAGTTGAGGTATACCTGTATATGAACTGCTGGTTCAGACCAGACATCATGTGATTTGAATTCAAAAATTTTCTTAAAACAAGAGTTACATAGACAATCGGCATGACTCTATTGTTATCAGGAAAAATATAATGTACGGGGACAAGACACTACTAATTTGAGGTGGATAGCACATACAGGTAACCCCCGTATAACACGGTAGTTACATTCCAAAAAATTGCCATGTTATGCGAATCAGTGTTATACAAAGCAAAGAACTAGTACGAAAAGGAGGGTTAGGTTCCAAAAATTAAAAACATGATATTATATTTTTATAATTAAGGTAAATATCTTTATTAAAATTTTCTTAAGTGATACATATTAATATAAATTAAACAATGTTTTCTTCGTTATCGCTAAAAGCACTATTAACCGAGAGCGTTTTCTTTTTGGCAAGTTATCCTTATCCTCTGAGCATTTTTCTGCATTATCTTCAGATCCATGCTTTTCCTTTTGCAAAAAGTATGTGGTTTTAGATTGCTTGTTTCTAGTTAAAAGATCTTTATAAATTTCCTTATATGGTGCTAAGCACTTATGAAGAATAAAGCAAGTATGGAATAAGGGAAAAATATTCGGCA